GTCCACGATCTCTGCACTAGGCACAGGAAAGTGGCCGTCTAGGGCAGGATAGCTGCCAGCCTGGCCACCCAGGAGCAGGTGTGCATGAAAATCAAGGGGGTCCACTGAGACCCCCGACCCTGAGCCCTGAGCTTACAATGGCCGTACTGGGTCAGACCAAAGGTCCATCTAGCCCAGTAGCCTGTCTGCCAACAGCGGCCAACCCTAGGGACCCTGGAGGGGATGGACCGAAGACAGTGATCAAGCCATTTGTCTCGTGCCATCCCTCTCCAGCCTTCCACAAACTTTGGGCAGGGACACCACTCCTACCCTCTGGCTAATAGGACTCCATGGACCCAACCTCCATGACTTGATCTCACTTCCCTTTAAACTCTGTTCTAGTTGTAGCCTTCACAGCCTCCTGCAGCAAGGAGTTCCACAGGTTAACTATTTGCTTTGTCAAGAAGAACAACTTTCTCTTACTAGTTTCAAGCCTGCTACCCATTCCTTTCCTTTGGTGTCCTCTAGTCCTTCTTTATGGGAACTCAGGAAGAACTTTTCTGAATGCACCCTCTCCACCCAACCCCTGCTTTTAGAGACCTCTATCCTGTCCCCCCTCCGTCTCCTCTTTTCTAAGCTGAACAGTCCCAGTCTCTGTAGCCTCTCTTCATCTGGGACCTGTTCCCAACCCCTGATCATGTTAGTTGCCCTCCCCTCTCCCAGCCTTTCTCTTCCCCTCTCCCACCTCCTTTTCCCAGTCTCCCCCAGTTTTTTTCAATAAAGACAGAGTCAATGTTGGAAGAAACGTTATCTTTATTTTGTACATCAATAAGAAGGGGGGCTAGGGAAGGGTAAGTGGAAGGAGGTGAGGGAGGAATGGGGTACGAGCCCCCGATGGGGAGGACTGGGCTGGCTCTGCGGGCTTCTGGGGGTGGAAGCTCTCCTGCAGCCCCCCAATTACTCCCTCTCCCCAGATGGCAGCCTGCGGCAAGTGCAGCCGGGCTGATGGCCGAGTGGTGTGATGTGCCCAGTGTGGGCACTCAGGGCACTCCAAGCCAGAACTTCTTTGCAAGCGGGGCACCCCTTAGAACTGTGTGTCCGGGGTGGGGGTCGGGACCCTTTAAGCGCAGCCCTCGGCTAGCCTGAGACAGTATCTCCATGCTCTAAGTCCTCCTTTTATGCCCTGCCGGCACTGCTTCCGGCCATCCTTAAGCCCTGTTCAGAGTCCACTCAATGTGGACTTGCTAGTTCGAATTAGCAAAACGCTAATTCGAACTAGTTTTTAGTTCTAGACGCGTTAGTTCGAATTAGCTTAGTTCGAATTAACTAATTCGAACTAAGTTAGTTCGAACTAGCGCTGTAGTGTAGACATACCCTAACTTAACTTTCAAGATAAAAATGTTCACGCCTACCCTCCAAACCATCAACTGGAAAGGCAAGCAGTCATTCACAGACTTGCAGAAAACTTACCTCCGTGTTCCAATTTTCCCTCCAATTTTCTCCCATTTAGCTTGTGGGCTTCACCGTTTCAATATTAATCATTGCCTTTTGGACAGGTAAAAGGGGATAGAATATTTATGAAAGTCCTTGTGATATTATAGCAGCCCTATGGTGGGAAGAGATCCATTTCTATTCCCGTCTGGATGAGTCATTGATCAGAGCCCAGTTCAAAGATAAAGTGGAAATAGGCATTCTAAAAACTGTACAGTTCAACATATAGTTTTGTTGAAGAATTGGAGAGGGTTCAGAAAGGAGTTACCTGGAAGTTCTGCCTTACAGTGAGAGATGTAAGATTATTCTGTTTGGTTTATTAAAAGATAAGGTTACAAGATTAATTGACCACAAGTTACAAAGACAAAATATTGGATACTAGATAGAAGTCATAAGTGTTTTTTAACAGAATAGTTAACTATTGGAGCAAATTACCAAGAGATATGATGGATTTTCCATCGCCTTGAAGTCTTTAAATCAAGATTGGATGTCTTTCTAAAATATATATTCCAGTATTCAATCAGAAGTTTCTGGCTCAGTGCAGGAATTACTGGATAGAAGTCTATTAGAGCATGTCTACACTACAGAGTTTTGTCAGAAAAACTACCTGTTTTCTGACAAAATTTGAGTTACGTCCACACTGCAATTGTGTTCTTCCAAAACAGAGGTTTTTTTCAGGCATTGTCAATCCTCTTTCTAAAGGGAAGAAGCCTTTTTCTGAAAGAGCTCTTTCGAAAAAAGGCATATGTGGATGGGGAAGAGGGAGTTCTTTTGAAAGAAGAGGAAAGAGGAAAAAGCACAGGTGCCCTTGTGGCCACTCCATCCATCATAGCCACAGCTTAAATGCAAGATAGCATCCATTCAGTGTGGACGCTCTCTTTCAAAGAAGCAGATCACTTTTTTGAGTGGATGCTGTCTTTCGGAAGAAATTTTTTCAGAAGATCTTTTCTGAAAAAAGGTGCTTCTGAAAGAAGCCTGCAGTCTAGACATAGCCTTAGACTATGTTATACAGGTCAGACTTAATGATCATAATAGACCCTTTGGGCCTTAAAACGTATTAATCTACAAACATCCCATTTTCTTAGAACTTCTGATATAATTTAGATATTTAAATGTATCGTGTCCATATTTATGTTTTCATTTTAATGTATTTTCTTACAGAGTCTAAGTGATTCATATGCAAAATACAGTTCTGTTTGGACTTCCATAGCAGACTTACCTAAAGTTGAGTATACTCCTATATCATCTCCAACAGAAAGCACAACAGAAGTAGAAATACCTCTTGAAGAAGGCGAGGCTTCAGATTCAAAAAAAGAAGCATATGTGGCTTTTGTAGATGTTGAACAATGTAAAGATGAAGACCTACATGATGAAGGCACAGCAAAGACAGAAGTACCTCCTGAAGAAGATGAGTTTTCAGGTTCCAAAAAACCTGCACATGTGGCTTTCATAAATGTTGAACAATATGAAGACAAAGACCTACTTGGTGAAGACACGGGAAAGCTACCTTTTGAAGAAGGTGAGGTTTCAGGTTCCAAAAAAGCAGCATATGTGACTTTTGTAGATGGTGAACAACATAAAGATGAAGTCCTATGTGATGAAGACAGAGAAAAGGTAGAAATAGTATCTCTTGAAAAAGATGAGACTTCAGGTTCAAAAAAAGAAACACACGTAACTTTTGTAGATGTTGAAGATGAAGACCCACATGTTGAAGGCACAGCACAAATAGAAGAACCTTTTGAAGAAGATGAGGCTTCAGGTTCAAAAAAAGCAGCACATGTATCTTTTGTAGATGGTGAACAACATAAAGATGAAGTCCTAAGGTAGAAGAAGTAGTACCTCTTGAAAAAGGTGAGACATCAGGTTCAAAAAAAGAAACACGTGTTACTTTCAAAGATGTTGAAGATGAAGATCTGCATGATGAAAGCACAGCACAAACAGAAAAACCTTTTGAAGAAGATGAGACTTTAGATTCAAAAAAAGCAGCACGTGTATCTTTTGTAGATGCTGAACAACATAAAGATGAAGGCCCATATGAGGAAGGCAGAGCAAAGGTAGAAGAAGTAGTACCTCTTGAAAAAGGTGAGACATCAGGTTCAAAAAAAGAAACACGTGTTACTTTCAAAGATGTTGAAGATGAAGATCTGCATGATGAAAGCACAGCACAAACAGAAAAACCTTTTGAAGAAGATGAGACTTCAGGTTCAAAAAAAGGAGCACGTGTATCTTTTGTAGATGCTGAACAACGTAGAGATGAAGGCCTCAATGATGATGATGATGATGATGATGAAGAAAAGTGATCAAGTATCACTACCAGTAATTAAATCAGTAGTATGAAAACGATGAATCTTAAATTTAGATAAAGCTATTCACCATCAGTAACAATTTATTCTGTTATACTATATCCTAGTTTGATGGAGAATTGACTAATATTTGTTAGATCATTCTTGCTTTAATTATACTGCTGTTTCATACTTCATATCTAAAATCAGTTTGTTGAATATTGTATGTAAAATTGTAAAATTTAAGCATTTTAAAATATGAACTGTAGTGGGATTAGAACATTTTAATATATTGCATGGTTTTAAAGAAACACTAAATATATTTAATTTTGTTAGCAAATTACTTATTTCACTACTGACTATCTCCTTTGGCGGTAATGGAGAGGGGTGAATGGACTGGTTAGCTATTCTTTAAAGAGAATAATGTTTTGCCCTACAACAAAATAAATACCACAAATCCACATCCAGCCACCAGAGTATATGAGGGACCACCAGTTCTGTTCATCTCCACAAGTGTTCCATGGAAGTATGTGAAGCTAAAGGTCCATTTATACCAGCTAGGGATCTAGCATTTAATCCAGGGATCTGAAAACACTCTGTTAACTATAATGTGATTATATTTGCTTTGGAGATAGATATCTTCTCTATACCTCAGTTTGTAACTAGACCAAAATACTATGAGACCATATTAGGAATGGAAATCTAAATTTAGGAGTCCTGTCTCTGAGGGTACTTCTACACTTCGAATCACTCTGAGCTCAAAACTTACATCTCATGGTCTCTACTCTACTATCTAGATAATGCTGTTGTCTCTGTTGCTGATGAAAACTAATGGGGAAAAGTCATGGCATGTAAATCCCACACAGGCACCAAACTATACCCGAGAGTGCTAGGAAAATCACTGATTGCATGGGGGGAGGGATGTCATGATAAGATGCAGGGAAAGGATTTAACAGAAAAGATTTTACAGAAGGTAAAGAACTGTACCAGGCCTAGCTTGTGGGCTGGAGTGAAACACAAGAGTGTGAGGATATTGCATTATAGCTGAGACTTGCCTGTGAGGAAGAGGGGTAGCAGCTACCCCCTATTGAGGCTGAAGATTTAGTTGTCTTTATATTTTTGTTGGATGTGTTAAAGGACTCTGTGACTGGATGGATTCAGATTCCTGAATGTGTCTGGAGGACCAGGTTATTTCTATGGCCTCTTGGGAAACAGGCACAGCTGCCACAAAGTCACATCCAGCCACCAGAGTATATGAGGGAGCACCAGTTCTGTTCAGGAAGCAGCTGCAGGAGATAGGAGCCAGACTGGGATTCCTACATACACAGGAGTTCCATGAATGAAATAAACAAGGCCATATGAGTGTTTCAGTTAGGAGTTCACAAAACATATTCAAGGTAAAAAGAGAATAACCCTGCAGACTGTCTCTGATTTAAATATTTTCTGCAGTTGCTTGGGGGAGGTAGGTAGCCAGTGTACTTTTCAAAGGGAAAAGAGACACTCTCATCAACTAGATACATCATGTATGTTGACAGTGTACGAACCATCCGATAAGCCAAAAGCAAGGTCTAGCAATGGGCCAAAACTTAAAGTTTGGAGATCAGGTATGAAGGGAACAACAGGAAAAATGCAGCATGTGTATAAAATTAAACGTTTAATAAAAGCAATAGGGTATGTTCAACAGAATCTTTATTATTTGTAAATGATCCTGGCCCAGATCCACAAAGGCATCGCAACGCTCAGTGTCATGACACCTATCTTTTAGGTGCCCAGAAAATAATAGGAATGGCAATGTGATCCACAAAGCCTTGATCCTTCTATCCATGATTGCATATGTCTGTTCCATGTAGACGTGTGCATGCCTCGTACATCGTCAAAGAATGCTTTTGACTTCTGGCAAACATAGCAACATATGTGCTGGAATATGACAGACTCCACCTCAGGAGACTTCAGGAATGGCTAGTATCAGTATATGATCCCCGTTGACATAGTCTAGACCCATATTTCTCAATTTGCGGGTCACAAGATGAGTTTAGAGGGGTTGCAAGTTCAGAGCTGACATTACAGGGTGGCAAGCAGAACAGTTGTCAGGAGCCCCACACCACAGAAGGGCCTGTAAAGTTAAATTACATGCTTCAGTCTCAGGCAGTGATGCTCAGGCATCAGCTCCCCCTTCCATGGTGGAGCTCAGGCTTCAGCTTGAAATATCTTACTTGAAAAATGTTCAGAAATTGCTTATGAATAACAGAAGGCTTTCAACTAGGCATACATACCTGGCCAAATTAAAACATTTGTATATCCAATCTCAACAGAGAAGTCTCTCTCCAAGGCAGACTTCCATTAACTACATTTTGGATTATTTGTTGCACCTAAAACATCAAGGCGTGACTGTCATGACTTGGACATAGGCAATCAGATCTAATGGTCAGAGCTGGAGTCGGGAGTCAGACTGAGCCAGGTACCAAGAGAGTCCAAGACAGGCCAGCAGACAGACTCAGAATCAGGAGCAGACCAGGTCAGGTTACCAGGAGATTGGGGACATGCACCAGGTTCCAGACAACAATGAAAAAGTGAAGTTGAGGACAAAATAGGGTCTTTTACAAGCAGGATCCACAGCAGAGACAGGCAGGCAATCTGTGATGTTGCATGGATAGTTTCCCTTCATATTTTCCTGGTTTAAGTACTGATACTAGCCAATCATTGGGCTGGGACTACCACTCAAATCCTGCTGGGCTGTTCTTCCGTCTGAGCCCTGCCTCAGAATCCTCCAATGGGAGCACAGCCTAATTCTCTTGGAATTATGTGGCGATGTGAATAACTCAGCATTCCCCAGTTTTCACCCCTTCCGGTTCTAATAGTTCTATTAAAGTACAGATGGCACTGGGTGTAATATTGTTTTTTCCACCCCCCCCAAATTATCAGATTTCTAAAAGGGATGCATTGATTATACCCTCCAGTTCAACAACATGTTCCTCCACAGAATCTTAGTCTCATGCTAACAAAGATAATGGGAACTCTATTTGAACCTCTTGTGACTTGCCCCCTATTCCATCTCTTTATGAAAATGGAATTTCTGGTTACAATAAACTTAGCAAGGAGAGTAAGCAAACCAAGAGACTTCTTAGTCTCAGAACCTCTTTTCCATAAGGTTTTCCATAAGGTTAACATTTACCTATGCCCTCACCCAAAATTCTTAACAAATGTAGTTTCCAGTTTCCATGTGACCCAGGCAATTTATTTGCCAATGCTCTTTCAAAAGCCTCATGTACACAGATGAGCAAAGACTTCAAGTGTTGTATGTGAGTAGGACATTGACACTGGAGGTGGGAGCAAGAGAAGTTGAAGAGCTGCTGACATATTGCTGTGGTTCTTTGGCAATACACACTGATAAATTCTGACTCAGTCTAAGGATGGCCATCTCTAATACCAGAAATGAATTTTACCCTATTGTTACAGAACAGAACATCTTTCTGCCCGTCTACTGTTCTCATTCACTTTTCTCTTGGGAATACTTTGATTTTCCTATATTGACATATAATAGCATCATCAGACTTGTGATGGGTATTATATTACACTCACCTCCATTTTCTGTCCTAAGTGCCTGTGAAAATATAGCCATAAACAAACAACTGTCTCACTCCCACAGTGAATTTCCCATTGCACACATTGAATTCCAGAGATTTGTGCACTGTGTGTTTTAGTATAAGGCTTTGTCTACACTTCTAAGTTTAAAACACAATCATGGCAGTGTTGCCATGGCAGCACTTGAACATGGCAGTGTGATTCCACACCAATTCTTGGAGAGAGCTCTTCCAGCACTGTAGGTAAACCATCTTCATGAGAGGAGTAGCTAACAACATAGAGAACCTGTTTACATTGATCTGAGGAAGTGGGTCTGGCCCACGAAAGCTCATCACCTAATAAATCATCTTGTTAGTCTTTAAAGTGCTGCATAGTCCTGTCTTTTGTTTCAGCTAGACCAGACTAACACAGCTGCATCTCTATCCCTGTTTACATTGGCACTATACAGCCCTGTAACTTGCTGCACTCAGGAGAGAGGGTGGAGGGATGTTTATTCACACCCTTGAGAGTGTAATAATGATAGAGATGCAGCCGTGTTAGTCTGGTGTAGCTGAAACAAAAGACAGAACTAGTCACACCCTTGAGAGTGAAAGTTACTCTACAGTAAGGTGGCAGTGAAGACAAGCCCAAAGTGCAGAGGCGACACAGCTGTTGATTGTGTGTGTGGGGTGGAGAGAGAGACGATACAATTTAAAGTTTCTGATGGCATACAGTTAGGGGCCTCTGTGTCAGCCTCCTCAATGGTCCAATGGACAGGACGCATGGGGCCCAGGCCAGTCTGGCATATTACCTGAGAGCCCCCCTGACTTCACTGTGGGAGCCAGAGCAACCCAGCAGCCTGCTTCACTACCTCCTACCTGGGTCATTCTGCTTCACCATGGTGGCACCAAGTGAAGCAACCCAGCCCCAGCCTGCTCTCTCAAGCCCTGAATTGCTTGTGGGAGCAGAGGGGAGCAGGATGGT